TTTTGCAGCAGCAGCAGGAAATGTTCAAGGACTTTGTTAAAATTATCACCGACTCAGTGAACACAAGAATGGATAACGTTTTTAAAGAATTACAAGAGTTAAAAGCAAGTTTACAATACACACAGAAGGATGTTGATGAACTTAAAGTCACTCAAGCTAAACAGTTTGAGCATGGAAGAATCACACAAACTGATTTAGTGAAAATCAATGACAGTCTACAAGTTATGTGTGAAAAACAAGAACATCTGGAAAGTCAATCAAGAAAAAATAATATTGTGATTGATGGAGTTCCTGAATCCACTGGCGAATCCTTGGCAGAGTCTGAAGAAAAAGTGAAGGACATTTTTAAGCAAAAACTACAACTACAAAGAGACATGGAGATGGAGCATGTACACCGTATAGGAAAGCCTGATGCTGCTAGAAACAGACCGAGATCTATGGTTGTTAAATTTCTGAATTTTAAGGACAAAACAGCTGTCATGCAAAGAGTAAAGAACCTCAAGGGCACAAAAATTTTCATCAATGACGACTACACGGACGCTGTGCGGCTAAAAAGAAAGGAATTGATGCCAAAGTTAAAAGAAGCACGGGATAAAGGTGACATTGCCTACCTCAGACATGACAAACTTATTATCCACTCCCGCACTAGCACCCCTGAGTAACTTCTGTGCAACTCTGAAGGTATGATAGCACATAAAACTCATGTATTCATTACCTAGAAAAGGTTTAAGACTAGCACATATTAATATAAACAGTCTCAGGAATAAAATTAACGATGTTACTGAACTGCTAAATGAGTTTAAAATACACATTCTTGCTATCTCAGAGACCCACTTGGACTCATCTTTTGATGACACAGAACTATTTATTGAAGGTTACAACATATACAGAAATGACAGAAATGGTTTTCGTGGGGGAGTTGCTTTTTATATTCAGAATCACTTACCAGTAAAAATAAGAACTGATTTAATGAGTTTTAACATCGAAATATTATGGTTGCAAATGCATCTACCTCATCGAAAGTCGATTCTTCTGGGTTGCTATTACCGGCCGCCAAGTGCTAATTGTGAATATCTTGACACCATGTGTAAAATGTTGGATATAAATACTAATGTAAGTCAGGACATATATTTCATGGGTGACTTGAACATTGACTGGTTTGCTAAAGATTGCCACTTGAAAAGAAAACTGTTAACTACTGCAAATGCATGTGGACTTACTCAACTGATAAACAAACCCACAAGAATATGTTTCAAGAACGATGGGACTAGTACATCTACCTGTATAGATCATATTTTCACAAACCGTCCTGAACTATGTAAAAAGGTACTGTCTATTCCCACTGGTAGCAGTGATCATAATTTGATCATTTCTGCATTAACAACTAAACTGAGTGGCTCAGGAACTACAGTCTTATTTAAAAGATCCTATAAGTTGTTTAAAAATGACAAGTTTATTGAAGATGTTCAAGCTTTATGCTGGTCTGATGTGTTGGCTGCTAGCAATCCAGAAACTGCTCTATTTAAATTTAACAAGCTATTCTTGCCATTGATTGATAAACATGCACCTTTGAAGAAGTTTACGGTCAGAAACAACGTCACACCTTGGTTGGATGAAGAACTGAAAAACTCTATGAAAATAAGATGTCAAATGAAAAGAACTGCAGTTATGACAGGAAATAAAAGTGATTGGGATCTATATCGTAAAATGAGAAATTCTGTTACTAAACTTAATAATAAGAAGAAGAAAATGTATTTTGATAATCACGTTAAAAACATAGGTAAAGATAATAGGAAGTTATGGAATGTTTTAAATCAATTGACTGGTAAGAAAAACAAAATAAATCCATCTTTTTTGGAAACAGGGGATTAACTCATAACTAAGCCAACAGATATTGTAAACCATCTCAATTATTATTTTATTAAAAAATCAGATAAACTAAGAGAAAATATGCCTAATCTAAGTAATGATATATCTTATCTATTAATAAGAAATGAATTGATGAAAAATAAAAACTTAAGGTTTAAACTACAAAGTGTAAATATAGATCAAGTAAAGAATCTTTTAAAAACCTGCAAAAACAAACCACCAGGTGTAGATGGTCTTGACGGCAGGCTTCTGAAACTAGCTGCTGACTTTATTGCCCCTGCTCTAACCCATATTATTAACCTTAGTTTTAGCTGCTGTACCTGCCCACAGGCATGGAAGCAGGCTAAAATTGTTCCTCTGCCCGAAGATAAAAAAATGCCTTTCTCCGGTTCCAACAGTCGCCCGATAAGTATATTACCTGTATTATCTAAAATACTGGAGTCTATAGTACACGATCAAATTAATAACTATTTTTATACAAATGATTTATTAACAGATTTTCAGCATGCATACAGAAAAAGTCACTCCACTGCCACTGCACTGACTCACATGTCTGATGATTGGCTTAGAGAGACTGAAAAAAAAAAAATTACAGGTGTTGTATTTTTAGATTTTTCTGCCGCTTTCGACATCATAGATCATAACCTGCTATTAACAAAATTATCCTGTTACGGGTTTGAGCAATCTGCAATCACATGGATGTACAGTTACTTGTCAAATAGAACACAGACAGTGTTTTTCAATGGCAGTTTCTCAGGTATCAGAAAAATTACATGTGGAGTACCCCAAGGTAGCTGTCTGGGTCCACTATTATTTAATATTTTTACTAATGATTTACCATATATTTTACATAAGGCTAATATTGTCATGTACGCTGACGATTCAACTATATATACATCAGCAAGTACACAAATTGAATTAGAAACTGTTTTAAATACAGAATTACAATATGTAGTAGATTGGGTCAAATCAAATAAACTGGCATTAAATACTGTAAAAACTAATTGCATGATTTTAGGTTCAAATTACAATATTAAACAGAATCCTGTAATTAATATTAAGATTAACAACGCAGTTATTGAACAGGTGCATGAGACCAGACTGCTGGGTGTAATAGTTGACTCTAGGTTATCATGGAAAAAACATATTAGTAATATTATTGCAAAAATGGGAAGAGGTATATCCATTATGAGAAGACATGCAAATTTCTTAACTTCAAACATTAGGAATTATGCAATGAAAGCACTAATATTGACATACCTCGACTATTGCCCAGCAGTTTGGTCAAATGCCACTGGAGAATATATAAATAAATTACAACTTATACAGAATAGAGCTGCTCGTGTAGCACTCAGATGCAGCTACAGGAGAAATATAACATTAATGCACAAAGATCTTAATTGGTTGTTGGTCAAAGATAGATTGTTGTATTCATTGTTAATTTTCATAAGAAATATTTCTAATTCCAAATTTCCTTCTGTTTTGTTCAAGCATCTTTCTTTCAGTGTAGTAAATCATCAGTACAGTACTAGACATGCAACTAAAGGTAATTTCACTTTACCCATAGTAAGAACTAATGCCATGAAAAATACTGTTGTGTTCAGAGGTATGAAAGAATGGAATAATCTGCCAAAACATATCCTGCTTGCTAATAATGTCAATAAATTCAAATTATATGTAAAACAGCATTTATCAAAATAATATAACTGAATGTTTATATTTATATGTGTGTGAATATGTATGTGTATGTATGTTTACAGGTGTAAGTGTAGAATGTGTTTTATATTTGTCATATATCACACCCGCACGAGGGTACATATGTACGTTAATATGTGTATATATTGTATATGTATTTTTATATGTGTTTGTGTATTTTCTTTTTCTTTCAAATATTGGTTGTATTCTTAGTTTTGTTTTTAATGTATATATTTTTTCAGGACCCCAGGAAGAATAGCTGCAGCATAGCTGTAGCTAATGGGGATCCTTTCAATAAAACTTAAACTTAAACCCCTTTGGAAAGGCTGTTAATGTTGTCAGAACACAGTTAACCAAAGCAATTACAGAGAGTTGGAATAAACAGTAACATTTTGTGGAAAAAACCCTTAGAAAAAGTCTAGCTTGTATGGAGGAGGATTATTTCTATTCAAAACATTCCCTAATAGCATAAACAACTCCTCTCCCTTAGACACCTTGCAGATCTGAGGCCTGAATGATTGCTTTATAAGTAAGTCAATTTAAAATCAGCACCCATAAATTAATATATGCAAAAGGAAATAAATATTTTTTTCCCCACCACAATAATATAGTTATTTTTTTGGTGCTGAATCATACATTTTAGGTGCACGGTGCAATGCACTTTTTATTTTCTATAACTTGTAATAAACCTCAAGATTTGCTTTGAATTCTGGTTATTGTATTTTTTTCTCATAATATAAGGTTCTTTGATTCATGAGGTGTGTTAATTAAACATGAACTAACATTTACTAAATTCTAAAATTGAACTGATTTCTTCTCCCTCCTATTAACATGGGGACAACCACCCTTGCATTGGAGTTGATCGTCACTAACGGACAGTTTGTGATTGGTAATCAATAACTTTTAAACTAAAGGAGATACAGGACAGCAACTTTTATTAGCTGAGATTTTAAGCTTTGTTTTGAAAATGAAATAAAGTCTTTAAAATGTGTAGTTTTAGAGAAAATCAAGTGATAGTAAAAATTATGACAACCATCACCTCTCTCCCCAGATTATTTAGACCTACTAAATTTATTTCTTGTTCCCATCTTTTCCTAAGTTGATCCATTTTGATTTCATTCAATCAAAAATAAAAATAAATACAGAAATAAATACATATTTAAAAAATTCAGACAGCACTAAATCTAGTTACTAGGCTGGCACTGAAGTGGTCATATTTAAGATCTTTCATACATAATAATTTTTAAACTGAAACCTTTTTATAATATTGTAACACTTTGGAGATGACTTTAATATGTAAATTTATTTAAGAGAAATTAAAAGAATAAGGGGCAATCTAAATTTGGCACTGCACTGAGTTATTCTCTAATAATCAACGGGCGGTCATAACATAACTAATTGCAATTCATTAAATCGGCCAGCAAGTGGCGCTATAGAGAACCTGGCTTCGTCACATTATTTAACAACGGAACACGTTTTTCCATTCTTTGCTACAATGGAGGTCAGACAAATCTTTACCCTAAATCTTAACTGAAATATTTCTTATTAAAGTGTCCAACATGGCGGAGAAGCAGCGGGAACTCCCTTCGTGGATGACTAAGAAGGAGGCTAAAAAAGTGAAAGAAAATGCGCCGATGAAGAGTCAGAGAACAAGAAAAGCTGCAAGGTAGCGTAAAAGAACACTATTAAACTTCAGTTTTATAAGTCAAGTGTGTTTTATGGAAGAATGTCCGACTAACAGAAAGCCACGGGTTTTTCCTCAGAGCTGTTTTTTACTGTATGAACGAGGCGGAGCTTGTTGAAGCTGCAGTTTCATTTCTCACCGAGGGTTCCAGTGAGGATGCAACGACCCCGCTTCACCAGCAGGTGTCTCAGTTCTGCACGTTTTATTTCCTCCTATTTTAAAACTATTTTTAAACAGGGGTGGCGTGGCACACAAAAGGGGGGCAATATTGTTTACTTCTAACAATAAAGTGAAATAGATTTGCACATGTTAAAAGGGGAAATACAGAAACAAAATTCATAATTTACTAAATTTAAACAATATACCAAATCTAATTTTCTTAGTGTCCTTGTGACTTCTTCATTTTATTCATTTTCAGTACTTGGTTTAGTTAAGCTATGAAAATGCAACACCTTTCACATGCATATAGCTTGTATGTTTCAATATGCATTGATCAGGTAAAGTATCTATCTGTCAAAGGCAGACCAAGTAAGGAAAATTGATGATCCAGTAACAGGGTCATGGGTTGTTATGAAGACTTGAAGCCAGGAAGTTATGGAGGACCAACTCTGCCATATTTAAAAATAAATACAGAAACAAAAAAAAATGCTCAATAAAAAAATAAGCATACATTAATTGCCCCCAAAAACATAATAAACAAATAAATGTAGATAGAAATAAAAAATTATACAGTGAGACATAAATGTATATATCTCTTTAAATTAGCGTCTTTATTTATTCATTTTTGGTATAATTACCTTATTTATTGTCCTTTATAATCTTCAAATTTATTTATCTATTACTTATTTTTTTAAGGATTTATATATGTGCATGTTATAATATTTTTGTCTGTTTTCTTCCTTTGAATGTTTTTACCCTCTCTATTTCTTCAATGTTATTTATTTCTGCCTCATTATGCAAATAAGGAGGGGTGTGTCCAAGAGGCTCAACTTCTGCCCATTGGTTGGCAGCCCATCTTCTTAACTAATAGAGCTCAGAGTATTAACTTAAAAGTTCTCTTTTCTGTTGCTGTTGTTAAATAAAAGTACATTTTAAGATCATTTGAGGCGAGAACATTATTCTTTTAAGCGTCACTATATGCATAATTTTTTTTTAAATGTTCCGAAGTTGAGAGGACCGGGGCAACCAGCGGAGCTCTGAGGGTGACGGCAGCCAGGGCTAATCATTGCCCGTCTGAAGCAGCCCTCTCTTGGCATAGCCGTGTGTGAAGGACCGCTGGCTATGATAGCGATTTTTCTGTTTTATTTGGCAAAATGTTCATTTGATTTGTCTTTATCTGACTGTGTTAAATATTATTCCCCCACTAAACGAAAAAAAGGCAGAATTTATTCTTAAATAGAGACTATTAATAACAGGAGGAGAAAAGCAGCTCCAGACGTGCCGAGCATTTGGTGATGTCACGAATATGCTTCTGTGCCAATTGACCCAGATTTATGCTGCCTGCTCCCGTTCTCCCCGAGTCCAGACTGTCCATACTCGCGTTCTTATGAATTGAAAAACAGCCACTGACTTCAGACTCGACTTCACACTCTCCTCTCCTCCTGTAGATTCGACCAATACAGTAAAATACCAACCAACCAATGGGGCAGAAGTTGACCCTCTAAGACACACAACCTCCTCATTTGCATTATGAAGCAGAAATTTAGACAGAAATGTAAAAACCACAGGCAGAAATAAATAGCGTTGAAGAAATATATAGGGTAAAAAATTACAAAGGAAGAATAATACAGACAAAAATATTATATCATGCACATAAACAAATACTTTAAAAAATAAATAATAAATAAATAAAGTTTAAAGATTATAAAGGACAATAAATAAAAAGGTAATTATTACAAAGATGAATAAATAAAGAAGCTAATTAAAAGAGATTCATACATTTATGTCTTGCTGTATAATTTAATTTTTACCTACATTTATTTGTTTATTATATTTTGGGAGCAATTAATGGTATGCTTCTTTATTTATTGAGCATTTATTTATTTCTATATTTATTTTTAAATATGGCAGAGTTGGTCCTCCATAGAAAGTACTCTGGTGTGATGAATGTTGATGATGGTCTCTATGCCAGCATCATTTATCAATACATTTCCAGTCAGGTCTGCTGGGGCAGTGTGATGCTTTAGGAAACTTTAAACACAGCCAATATTGTGGATATCACTTTAGCATGGACCACCCTGGGTGCACTCTAAAGATGTGTTGTATAATACATACTTTCTATATCATAATAAATATATCTTAGAAAACTTTCTCGATTTCATGATCTTATTGTGAACTCTAATGCACTCCCCTCCCTCTTAACACAGGCTGGAAGAAAAGCAAAGAGCCCCTCTGCTAAGGAAGGACACTCGGGAACCGCAGGGATGACATCAGAGCTAGTGATGCTGCCTTTAGGGGAAGAATCCTCAGACTGCTGCGAGGACCTGGAGACGACATATGTTTCAGAAACAGACTTGGATATTACAGAGGTTGAAACTGTTCCCTACACCAGGAATTCACAGCATCCTGAGCCTGGAGAAGAGAGATCAGGATCCACCCAGGGTGGCTGTGAACCCATGAAGGACAGTGTACCAGCTGAGAATGAAAGTGAGCAGCAAAAGCCGGCTGAAGAGGAGGACGATGCCTTCCGGCTTGTGCGAGAAATATTTTTCACCTGACTGAAAATGATTTACAGAGTTTGTAGGGATTTTTACAACCATTTTAAGAGATTTCACAATATAGTCTGGACTGTTAAAAAACAACCATAAACTTGATCATCAGTGGAAATCAAAATACCCTGACATGAAACACTAAATGGTTCAATTCTGTGAAACAGGTGTGAGGTGGGGGAGGTTTACTTTCACGAGTCGGCCTTAAAGAAAACATTTAGTGAGAACGGTTTTGCTTCTGCACCTGTGGCCTCATTGTGTGGAACTAAAGGAAAACCAAGTCCTCATGGGTTTTAAATGAATCGTTTACTTTAATATCCCACTGAGTGACCTAGTTTGTTTTAGAAAATGCTGAACTCATTGCAGTATTGTAAGTCCACAGCTCATAAACTACTGTACATGAAAGGAGTAATATAAGGTGTTTTTTTGCTTTTATTGGTATTAAGAAATTGTTTGCAAATATAAACATCACAAAATAAAACTCATGTTGAGTTACAGAAGTAGGAAACTGATATAAGTTGTATTAAAGTGATGATAATATAAAAGTTACTTCCAAAACTGCTTTCCTATATCCCATTCAGGAAGCTTTTTTAATTCTGGCGTAGAAAGCATGCAAATAGAACCGGACTAACAGGTCCGTCCCTTGGGAATGGTCAGTCGTTTCTAAGCCAAAACAAGGCTTTGTCTTTGTCCACGCTATAAAGCCTCGAATTCAAAGCTAATTCTGACATTTTGAATTGAAAAAAGCTTCCTGGATGGGAAGCGAAACGTCTTCAAACTTGAAAACAAAGTCCAGTGGTTTGTTTTTTTTTTTTACTTTTTTTGGAATGACTATGACCTGGATGACTGAGAATCTTCACTAGCATATGCTAAGCAGTGATAATTTGTGGATGGTAAAAAACGGTCAAAGTGAAACCCATTAAGCTACATCTGTTTACTTATCACACAATGGAGCATATGATTTTTTTTCTTTCTATTATAACCTCATACAGCAAACTGAAAAAACCTTGAAAAGTAGGCATTTACCTTAGTGGCACTAGCTGTAAGAAGTCTTACATCTACCATCATAAATTGCAGCAACCTAAAAATGTCTGGCTGCAGCTTAATGACAGTGGAGCTACAGATTCTTCTTTTTTCATAAACAAAGTCACATTCATATTTTTCTGCACAACCTTCATGCAAATGTTGCTTTTTCAACTCATATCTTCATCTTATCATCTTTTAAAAAAGATATTATGTCCACATGTAAATTTAATCGATACAACAGTAAATGCAAAAACTCAAAGGGATTTCATCACTTACATCAATGGACAAATAAAAAAGAATTTGAAGGATGATGCAGTCTGAAGTTACTTATTTCCAGTCAGATGTCAGCTTTCTTCCCAAAATCCATGTAAGCACAGTTGTTAGAATTAGCATTGCTTCCACACCCAGACACAAATAAAACCACACTGTCATGTTTTCCAAACTCACGTAGGAGCGAAACCTTATCAAAAACACAATGATGCCTCCCAGAATGAGGAGGCAGGAAGCAGCCTGGAGGGCAAGGCTGCACCAGAGTGTCCCTCTGTCTTTACCATAAGCAGAGAAGAGCAAGCTCAGCAGTGCAAATGCAACCAGTGCAATCGGAACATAAAAACACAGGGGCATCATGGCATAGATGATGGTCCTCCCACCAAAAGAATGTGGGTAGAAATCCCTTTCCTGTTGATCACACAGTGGTTCATCATCTTGAGTGTACAGACAAAAAAATGCAGGACCAAAGCGAACTTCTTTGGAGTTGATGAAAACGCCAGCGAAATGCAGCAGCAGGATTTGAAGGAGGATGAGGAGCAGCAGCACACAGATCCCAGACCAGTATAACCGTAGTCTCCTGCTTGAGGGAGCGGCCATGGGGAAGAGCTCTGCACTCTGGATCTACACATTTAAGATAAATAGAGATAAAAACCACAGACAATAATAAGGCACCACTGCAGCTCATAAAATACTTAACTGGGTAATCTGAAATTAACCCACACTGAATGGTGAATCAAATAAAAAATATAATTATAAAATAATTGTTTAAGGAGCACAGGATATGTAAACAAATAATTATAAAAAATAGTGAGATTTTCTTACCGATATTATGGCAACATTGTAAGATTTAATACCCCTTCAACTGTAAACATAGTCATATTTAATTGTTCAGTATAAGATATGCGAACACAGAGGCACAAATATGAAAACAAGAAGAAAATCTCCCAGAAAAGCAGCAGGTTGACTTAAGGATTTAATCCAAGAAATATACATAACAACAAACAAACCAACTCCCACAAAATGTAGGTAACTGTATCACGATGCAGGGACACAAAGGTCTGGATTGCTAAGGAAACTATTTGAACCCATCTGATTGGACTGGAGCTCTTTTTTGAGGAATAACATGAAAACATTTTTTATAGCACAGAGGTTGAGGAAATATACCAAGAAGGACTTGGAGAGGAAATTTGAGCAAAATATGTTCTAAGAAACAGCACGCACTTTTCAGTTCTTCCTTTTTTTATTTGGGAAAATCTTACTAAATTGACACTATACTGTACAAGTGTGCAATGACAAGTTTGTGGCTGAAACTGCAAATAAGTTAAAAAGCACTTCCTCCATACTTTAAAGGTAGAGTGGAGGATTTTCTTATATATATATATATATATATATATATATATATATATATATATATATATATATATATATATATATATATATATATATATATATATATATATATATATATATATATATATATATATATATAGAAAATCCTCCACTCTAGCATACAATATAGGTATAATATAATATATTATTATATTATACAGTCTAATAAATCCCTATAAAGTTTCATTTCTGCACCATATAAAGACCAAAAGGTTGTTTCTCAAACATGAAAGCAAATATGAGAACATGAAAGTGAAACTTTTATTATGACACGTCAAAGGTAGATCAGCTGATCAAATGTTTACTGAATAACTTGATAAGATTCAACATGTTATTTGTTGATTCAATTTAAAGAGACATTCATTTACACATTAGATTTAGGCTTAAACTAAATGTATATATTTATTATAGATTAAGGTAATTTCTGAAATAAAACTTTGGGACATTTTCAGCTCATTGATAAAAAGAAATACATCTCATCAAAATTAAACTTAGCAAACCGGGAAAGTAATAGTTTAATTTGTTTTTACATATATGTGCCTCTTGACTGTTAGTATTTCCTAAGATTAATAAAATGAATTAATTTATATTGTTATTAACAGAAAGCTAAACTGTGTCTCTGGGTCGGGGGGTCCTGGGTGGTTACCAAGGATTTCCAGTTTTGTGGGGCCTATAGAGCTCAGCAGGCACGTGCAGAGGGGGGGGGCTAAGGGGGCTTGAGCACCTGCCCCTTTTGCTCCATGATCCCAATGTGCCCTTTTGGTCCTTTTTTTTTTTTTTTTTTTTTTTTTTTTTTTTTATCTTAATTTTTTTTATTTGACACATGTACTGAAATTATTATTATTATCTTTTTTTTGGCAAGAAAAATGTAACCCATGTTAAAATCTAACATAAATAGGGATCTAACATAAATAGGGATAAGTAGTTGGTTAAAAGTCTGTAGACAGAAAATAACGTCGCTGTCCCTTTAAGAAACCAGCGTTACAGGTGCAGTGTCTGGGTGACGCTGCAGTACGCAGACCCGAAGGAGAGAGCAGAGGAGGAATCGGAGAAAAAAAAGAGCGGTGATTAATTAACAGAAAAAAGTTAATATTTTAGTAAACAAAACATAATTTACCTGGTCGGGAACTGACGAGGATTTTATGAGAACTAAGCCATATCGGTTTTGGTGAGTTTTGTGTTTATTTTTCTGTATTTTCATTGTGTTGTAATTTTTCTGTTGGTGGAGAGTTATTAACTGTTATTCAGTTAATATATGAAGTTTATGAAGAAGAATTTATTTGCATAATTTGAGTATTTAAAAAGAGTTTTATTGTGTTTTTGGCCTGTTACACAGGTCAGGTTTTTTGTTTGGATTGGAAGTTTGGTCGGAGCGAGGATTACCCCTTGCTCACACTGGCTCCGGTGCGGTTACCGAGCCGACGGAGACCGCAACTCCCGCACACCCCCTCTCACTGCCATGTGCGGCGTGCACATTCACAGACGGGATTCAAGATGGCGAGCCAGACCTAGAACTTCAATTCATCTTGTCCATTGAGGGAGGGACTTTCCCGCGTGTGGTAATCCCCTGCCAGAGCGGTAGGGATATCAGAAACTAGTTTGAACTGAACTAAAAAAGTACTGGAGACTGATTGAATTATTATTTTTTTTTGGACTGAATCAAACTGATTCTTTTCGTCGAACTGAGTGCCTATATTTACATTTGGACTTGAACTTGAATTTAAAGTGCCATACTTTGATTTTCATATGTTTAATTTCTGAATGTGATTTGAGTAATTGTGGTCCACTTGATTTAACTGTGTTGAAGGTATTTTGCAACCTGTAAAAGAAAGGAAAAGAGTTAACTCAGGAAAAATTTAAATCTTAAAATAGGTGCAACCTATGAAAAAGATACTGGTCTAATTAATCCAAATTAGTCTAATTAAAATATCCTAGGTGAACTAAAGAGCAAAAAGAAAGAGTGATATATTCTTTTTTTTCCTTCTCCCTTTTCCTCCCCATTTATACTTACCTCATTATTAAGAATCTGCAGAGTATTTTTGGTTTCATGTATTGTATTTTATGTGTGTTTTGCATTCATTAAATTGCCGGCCATTTTCACTTAAGCAGCGGTCTCTGGTGCTATTATTTTGCTCCCCACTCCTTAGAGCCTAGAACTGGTCCAGTGGCGCAGTTAGTGGTGTGATACCAGTGCTACAAAAACAATACAATAAGCCCTCCGGTCACATTGTTACCTTTGACCTTTTGCCGGTGACGACGCACTTGCCTCTCGCACAGTCAGATAAGGCGGCTAACTGCGGAGCTAAAGGTAGCGAACATTCCACATTACACTGTGGCCGCTGCTCATTTGGCCCTAAGCATGATCAACCATGATCGGATGGATGGCTATGTCGTCAGTCTGCACCGCCTCTCCAATGTCAACCTGAATAGAGATGTAAGTGAAACCAAATGAGCCCCATGGATGATGCAGTATTGTTTGATCTAAAACACTGTTTACTCTGTGCTTTTAGTCTTTTACATTGAAAATTATGTTTTTTAATTCACAAAAAACTGTTCTGTAATGATTACAGAACAGTTTTTTTGTGAATTAAAAAACATAATTTTTGGTGAAAATACTGGAGTAGGCTTGCTACTTGTCAGACAACGGAAAACTTTGAACGTTGTATAATTTCTCTACTTTAGTAAAGAGTAGCGGTTTAAACGGAGGAAAGTATAGGACGCGGCGCGCCTTTCTCTGAAGAACTACTGAGCGGGAGGAGAGAGCCAGATGAGGAACAGCTGTTCTTATCTATCGATTCAGTATTTTTATCATACAGACATTAGGCTGTTGTTCTTGTGTTTCCCTTAGCTTTGATTGTATGTCTCACAATTTTGTAATTTATCATTGTTCATTAAACTCTGAAAGCTATGTGACTTTGTTAATATTCTGTCCTAAAATGCGATAAGATGTGCCCTTTTTTTTTTTTTTTTTTGAGCACCTGCCCCTTTAGTGGTCTCTGCACGGCCCTGGAGCTCAGCCTCCCTAAGAGGGAGAGTGACACGAGGAAAAGAAAAGAAAGGAAAAAGCAAAACCTTTATCCAACATTTAGCCCGTCCCTGTGGATGTCTGGGGAGACAAGTCCCCCCACCTCTTCAACAAAAGTGCAAAAAAATTCTGTTCACAGCTACCTGCCAAATAACCAGGCTTTTCTTTTCTTCTGCAGGTAAACTGCATCTGACCCCATCAGGGTCCTGTGCACATCTCAGAGAAGCAGATTCATTTATCTCACTGTCCACAGCTCCACTGCTTCCTGAACTTCAGCTGCTCCTTTGTTTCATGTCTTTCATTAATGGTCAAGCTTTTTAATCCAGGTGTTTCTGGCTGGTTAATCACGCCAGTTACTGGGGTTACTCTTGTATAACCTCATCATTTTATTATTACCGTAACACAGGTTTCTGCGCGCAACATCCTCACGCGCTCTTTCTACCGTAATAACAGTTTACAAGCAACAATTTCCCCCTTATTCATTAAACGGCCGTCAACTTTACTTATCACAAATTGACAGCTTTAGCCGGGGACAGGTGATCCAAAACGGGGACTTTCCCGGGAAATGGGGACCGATTATAGATTTTAACGTATTATAGATGTTTAAAAGTTTTTTTGTTTTTTTCACGGACTATCAAGACAGGTTTATTTTTGGAAAAAAAAAAAACAAAATAAAATAAACCCTCTTTTGATCTAAGTTTTTTTTTTTAACCAGGTTCTGTTGTTTACCTACTTTCACTTGATGAGGGCTCACGCCGAAGTCTGTCTGTCGCTCGAAGAGCTGGGCTTTGCGCGTGCACTTTTGTCGAGGCCGCGCGCGCGGCTCGGGCTCTGCCTCGCTGGTGCGCGCGCGCGCTTCAGCGAGACACTTTGGCTCACGGACTTCTGCTGAGAGATCATCTGCACTTTGATCAGCTTCAACTGCAACCTCAAGGAGCTTGTTAAAGGTTAGTGGAGAAATCTTCATCTTTTATGACTTTTTATCAACAACTTGAAAGCGTGCTTTTTTTTTAACCACCATTACTTTATTTTGTTTGTTTTTTGTTTCCAACAAAAACCAGAGGCGGGGTCGTGTATATAAAAAAAATCCTTTTTGTGTTCTGCTGTATTCGACAAATATTTTCTAATTTTAGATTTTAAACTAATCTGTGTTTTGAGTTAATATTTAAAACGAAAACAAAATATATTGGGAATGAAAAGGAGTTTAGGTCCTGTGCTGTTTTTTCTTTCATAAAGGAGGTATGAAATTACTGCAGATGATCTGAGGTAATATTTTAGACCTAAAAGTTAACTATTTGTTTTCATCCATGCATTATAAAAAAAAATGAACCAAGTTAATGCTCTCTGTACCATAGCATTAAATAAAAAATAAATCCTGACTTATTTAAGTCTTTAGTTAATCACCAACTGACAATCTAAGTTTGAATCTGCTGTTCTGAAAGCTTCTATTGATAGAGTGTGAATTTTTAAAATAATTTAACTGCTTTTGATCAATTGTAGATTCAGCATGGGAAACAAGTTCAGCAGAAGGCGAGATGCCGCTGTCAGCAGTGCTGCATCTGCAGCCAGTGAACAGAAACCTGCAGTGGAACATTCAAAACCAGCTTTAGACTCTGGGATAAAACAGGAGGATGCAAAGGCTGAGAGTCTTGATGTTCTAATAGAAGAACCAACAAAAGAGGAATGTGCATCGGAGGTGAAAGGAGAGGAAAGTCCTTCTGCTTTGGCCCCAAGAGAAGATGCAGAGTCAGAACTGCTGACACTGGAAACTAAAGCTCCTAAGGAGCCTAAACCTCTGGTTTCAGACGCCAGTCCTCCAAAACCAGAAATATCTGCAAAGCCCAACCCTGAAGCTACAAACGAAGCTGAAGCACAAGTTGCCTTAAACCCAGTTGATGTTTCAGAATCTGTTCTGCAGTCAGAAGCAGACACTGAGTCCATCCCTCAGCCAGTGCCAACAGCAGCTGAGGCGGCTGTGCAAAGCAAAGACCAAGAACCCCTCACCGATCCGGTTCTTTCTGCACCCCCACTGATTGACTATGGTGTCCCTGATGTGATTTCCTCCCAAGCCACCATCCTGCTCGATCCAGATGAGTCATCAAAATGTTCAGCAAGTGAGGAAAGTTCCACAGCAGAGCCAGCAAAATTTACTTCAGACTTTCTGGAGAAATTTACAGGGGTGGAGGCCGAAGAGTGCCTGAAGACGCATGAGAGTGATGTCAACATGGAAAATATTAGCGAACTCCTAAAAGCCTCAGAGCTGAAAGAAAATGATCTTCTCAGTGACATCGTTCCAATAGAAGACAAGATCCTTGATGACACTCCCATCACAGACATGAGCACATCCATGGAGTTTAAGTGAATCCATCAAAAACGATCCCTGAAACAACAAAAGAGGATATTCTGTTAACCTTCTCAACGGGTCGCTAAGAAAAAAAAGGCATTTTCTTTGTTACTCCAAATGCTATTTGCTATAATTGAAAATACTAATAATACTTTTAAAAGAGCCATGCATCAGGTTGGAATGAATTGAAGCGGCCAGTTGATTTGGCTTTGGAGCATAAATAGGTTCAAATAGCACAGAATAAAAGTACGAAAGTAAACAGCGTCAGACAACAGAGATATTCCTCTATGCAAACTCTCTAACTAAATATTTTCTCCTACACTTGAAGGGATTAGTAAGAACAACCTTCCAACAGCTTATTTAGAACCGCTGCTTACAAAAGGTGAAGAGAGAAAAATAAAGGTGTGTCCTTTAATCTGCACATCATAAACTAACCAAGGATGTTTTCTTTCTGAAACCAAAGAGTAAAAAGACTGCACAACAAACCGCGACCGAAGTGCTAACTCCATGTGCATCAAAACAAGTGTTTAAACTGCCAAATATTACGCTGAATTTAATGATTGTCAGTTTTACTCGATAGTGGCTTGCTTGTGAAAATAAAGAAACTTATATGTCTATGCTCTTGTTGTTTATTAAACATTAACTGATTTTTGAGCAAATAAATAGGTTAATTACACTTTTCTTGGCTTCTTTTTATGATGCATGTAACACATGCATGTAACAGCTCAGACATGTTTATCAAATTATAGTTTCCATTTTTTTTGGGTCATAAAGTGAACCAAGGCTTTTTCAGAGCCTCCGGGGAGAGAAAATGAGAGGAGATGGGGGGAGAGCCCAGGCCACATTCTTTCCAGAGGAAGGAGGGTTTCAGGGGGCCTGGGTCAAAAGTCTTCAATCTTACTGCAAATCAGTGCATGAGAAATCTGCTCCTCAGATGTCTTTCCCACTCCTCTCCTCCTGCTCTCACTGCTATCCCAGCATCTTGTACAAGCATTCAGGGAACAACTATTTGAAAGGCAACCTAAAGCTGAAAATTAATGGGGGGAGAATTATTAGCCTGTTTTTTTCAACTGCAAAAATGTCCCAGTTTTGCACTGATGCAAAGTGAGAGGGTCTCAATTCACAAAAGCCATATAAATATGACAAACAAGAACATTAAAGTCAAAATAAAAGGCCGACTCTGCCAACCAAAATGGGTAAATCCCACGATTTGATAACTGATGAGTCCCTGTGGAGTGGGAAAGGCATACTTTAGACAATGATCTGAGTCCAGCTCGGCTTTAGTAAAGGATACAGTTCGCAGACAGAGCTGCTTCTTGATGCACACAGAAAATAGATAAGCAGCACGATTTGTACCATTTGTGATTCCTGTCATACCAGAGGCTTTCGGCTCAATAAACAAAAGTGCTGCACTCTGGTCCCCTCTCCCATTGTTGATTTCCTGTCTCTCAACGGACTGCCATGGTCAAAGCACGGACATAAAGGAAACAGAACTCCATAAGACCATGTGTGAGGGATCTAGCAAAGAGGATTTGGAAGGGACAGAAATGAGAGAAACTGTTCTGATTTTACAATTGTCCCATCTTCTTTCGAAACATTTTTTTTATACACACAAAGTTCTTGCTTGTATAACTTTTTAGAACTCGTTGAGTTTTTTTTTAAACTGTCATCAATTATTTGTGAATTTCCTGGATGAAGAGTTAAAGATTAAGAAGTCAAGCATATTTCTTATGCAAGAACAGAACCTTTCACTACGATGTGCCAGAGGCAGAGGCAAACTTATAGCTACAGGAACAAGAACTACCTAGCATCCAGTCAGCTGTTGAAAACAGCTTCACTTTGAAGACTTCTTCACAAAAACACAAACCAGTGTCAGATTTGCTCTTGTCAAATATTTTATCAAACAAACAGCAACCTTATACACAAAAAATTTGCATTTTACAACAAGAACATACAATAAGCTGTAGAAACAAAAGTATTAAACATCTTTGGAAAATTAAGTAAATACACACATTCAAGTTTAGCAACATCTATTAAAACGTATGTTTGGCAGAATATTAGAACATAGAACCATATGTGATGTAATACAAACAAAATAAATACTTACTGTACTATACAATTAAAAAAGAAAGGTCATATATTGCTATATATGTTCACTTAAAATAAGTTTTCTACAAAGAAACAGAGTAAGAATTTATTAAATAAGATGAATCAGAATAGAAAGATTACACGGCATAGAATGTTTTATACTTCCAAGGGAAAACAGGAAGATAAGATTTCAATACAATCTAAAAGGAAATTTGAAAATCCCACCATTTTATAACCTTAACTTTTTCACCAGCCTCTTGTACATTTTGGCCACATCAACATTGCTGCATCCAGGTTGGAAACGATATGACTGTAAGATGGGGATCCAGAAGTAGCCATATTTCTTTACTTCAACAAGCTGGTTTCGGACTTCATGGCTGAGGTCCTGACTCTCTCTTCTCTATATTTACAGAAATATAAACAAGAAAAAAACTATTAAAGCAACCATAAGAAATGAACTTGCAGGAAAACGTATATACTTTTAATATTATCTTTATTAAAAGTTGTTAATATTTTCAAATTTGGGAGAAAATAATTCTGGTCTACTTAATAAAATCTATAAAAAAAGATCAGAAAGGATATTGAGACAATTTCAAATTATAGACACTGAGCATTAGGTAACTTTTGGTCACCACTGTTCTATCAATAAACTGGCTCTGATTTAGTATCTTAAGGCTTTCTGTCTGCTATAGTGTATCAGTGTAGAGAACAGTATGACTGATGAGTTTTCACTCTTCCATTTCAGATTAGTCCAAAGGAGAACTAACAAAAGATAATTTAGCAGCTCATACATTTTAGACATTTATTTTTCTATCTTTTAGAAACATCTTAAAGATCTCCCAGAGAGAGAGGTCTGTTGTGTCTTTGATCTTTTAACAGCATAATGTTCACCATTAATCCTTCCACTTCTCTCTGTGTTTGAAGCTAGAAAAAGTTTAAATACTTATTTGGTCACTTATTCCTTCTTACAGGAAGGTTATGTAAACACAGGTAGAACATTACAATTAAAACAGCTGCTTTAGAAATAGAAATTACATTTACTGATAGTAAAAAAGGTGTAAACCGTTATTAGAATAAAAAGTGTGTATAGTGTGTAAAAATCTCAGCATGTTAAAAATATTAACCTTTGCAGTCCAAAGAAAATGAAAATGATCAAACACAACAGAACGATTGTGAAATGCACGAGCAACCCTTCTAAATAATTCCTCAGATGAGAATAAAGGTTGAGAAAGACGCAAGTAAAAAGGTTTGCCTAATTAATAAAATACTTGGACACACAATATGGTAATAAGCTGAAGTATTTTTCCATTGGTCTAAAACATCACGGTATGTCATTATAGTATCCGATTAATAGCAGAGAGAGACTGTGGAACAGCTTAATACAGCTGTGGGGCTCTGAACCAGCTCTGCCCTGCACACCGAGAAAACTGGCTGCAGCTCAACATTCCTTCTGCTCCCTGGTTTGTCTGCTGCCAAGAATACATTGCAGAGGACAGCTCCCGACACAATCTCTCAATCATAACATTCACACACAAAGTCTGAAAATGTAAATACCCCGATCACATGTGTGCTGGATGGATGGCTTCAGGTAGTTGTGACCTTTTTAGGGGAGTGAAGCTTGGACCTAAGAGGAAAGATGGAGTCATACCTGGTGAACATGGCAGCGTTTACTGAGTTTAATGACATGAAATATACTAATATTTTATCTATACCCATCCTTGTCTGGGAGGTGTGTGCCACTTGGCTGGTTGTTTTATACAGGGGGGTCAAAGTGAAACCTATGAGAAAAAAAAAAAAAAAAAAAACATTACAGGGGTTTTATACACATGCTCTATGCAAAATTTTATATCTACCAATTAGAACTGAAAGAGTTTGACAAAAATCTTTATATTTTTAACCCAATAATGGGATTTTACTTGATTTTCCATTGCATCAAGCATCAAGTGGAGATGTTTCACTTCAGGGTTTCATTGTTTTCATCACCTTAAGGTTTGCTCATCTAGGTTGTTGCATGGAAAAGTGCTTACTTCTACTCGTAAGTATGGATTTGCCTGCTAGCTGCAACTCTATTTGCCCTTTTTTCTGGTGGCAAACCCAAAGGCTACACTGATAAGGTCTGTATCTTACTAGTAACATGCAGTGTAACCAAATTTCTCTTTTATTAAAGTTATTTGGCAAATTCAATTAATTACCCAGCCCTACTGCCAACAAGACAACTGCTTCTACGCATTCAAATAATTTCAAAATTTGTGCTTATTATATTAATAATTTTTTGCTACAGTCTCTTAATTAATACTTATTTGACAATATTCTGTAAGGCTGTGCATTGCTTGGGCATTTATAGGTCTGGGAAAATAATTCCATCCCATATAATTTATCCTGTTTCTAGTAAAATTGAAGCAGAAGTAGAAACTTTATGGTGATAAAAACATACCATATTTAAAAAAAATCAACTGCTTTAGTAAAAAAAAAAATAACCCAAAAATAAAACCAAGAGTTTATTTAAATTTATGGTTAATAATAAAAAAGATTAAGTTTCATGTCATTTTGTTTACTACAGTACATGTCATTAATCTGTTATTTCTAAATCAATTATTTCTGTATTTCTGTATATGTATATATATATATATATATATGTAATATTACCCTTATGCTTCCTCCAAGTGTGTTGTGGCAGAAAACTTTTGTCAGTCCCAGCTGTGGATAAAGACATTTTTTCAATTATTAGCTGTGTCTGTTTTATGATTTAGAGTATCTAAGGTGTATTAATGAAACGAGCAAAAATAAATAAACACAGAATCTTCTACTCACTTGAGTAGCTCGGTTCTGTTCTTGTGTATTTTTTGTCTTTTGGCTTATGTTCCAAACCTAATGATAAACAACAAACTTAAGTAAGCTTAAACTGATTTAGCACAAGAAAAGTGAATACCACACACTTACCACACAGTTTTTCACAGCTTCTTTGCAGCGTTGGTGTTGGCGCCTTTGCAGAGCTTGGGTCTGCATGCCCAGCAGCGACACTCTTCTGATCTTGCCTAACCCCGCAGTTGAGGTGACTCATTCTGAATCGCTCTGTAGCCTCCTGTAGAACTCGATGCATGTCGCAGCTGTTCTCACAGGAGCTTTGAAACGATGCATAAGTCCGACTTGTCACGTCTTCAAAAGCTAAGACACAACCTAAAAAAAAAACAACCTTTATAAGAAGAAATAATCATCTGTGTGCAACAATAAAAAAAAAAAAAAAACTGTGATTTCTTGTGTATCTTAAATAAAGAACCAAAAATAACAACAACAAAAATGTGCTCATTGTTCTTAGAAATATCTTAGTTTCCTTACCTGCACATCGGCCATTAGAGACTGACCGGTAGTCTGTTGCTTTCCTCATCCTCTTTAAGTCACTGTTCTCAACTTCTTTACAAAAAGAAAAAAATACTAATTTTATAGAAGCTGCATCACACAACAAGTGAAAACTTGTAAAGGTAGAACTCTGTTTCTCACCATCAGAGCCTGTAATCTCTTCTGGTTTTGTCTGCAACAAAGGAGGTCTAAACAGGGATCTAAGCAAAAAGAAAAAAATATTTTATTGAA